GGTACAGTCTTGGCATAGAGGAGGGTGAAGTGAAATGATGATTCTTTAACAAGGGCATGCAGCTCACAGGAATATGAACTGAGTTGACAACAGAAGCATGACATACTAAGGCTAACAAGTATTTTCAATCAAGAATCAGGTCAAAACTAAAAGAGATAAGAGAGAATATAAAATACAGAAGGTCATTTGAGCCATGTAAAGAATAAAATCCTTTTTGAGGAAAACATTCTATTAAGACACTGCAAAATAAATTCATGAACCGAACAGCTGTGCTTTACTTCTAAAAGATTCCATGGAGAATTTATTAGTATGCATCACATCTAAAAGCTTGAAGTTTAATTACACAAAATTATTAAAGAGAGGAAACTTGTGTTTCTCTTGCTTTCAATGAGAGAGCAAAATAAGTGCTTAACTGGATACCTTCAGGCTCTTTCACAAACTGAATTGGGAACATCTTTTCTTTTATAGTGTTGAGCTCTGCTCGTATCAGTCTGTATCTCTGAGGAGAGAAAATGCATGGTGGGAAAATACAATAGAGTATGAGGATAGCCTACACCCCATCATCACTCCACCCCATAGTTATCACAATATGCCTCCATGTTGCTAAAGTCTCAGGCTGGAAACCCACAGTGGATATTCATTTTCTATTTCCTATTCCCTCAGTAAGGAAAGGGCCTAAAATATCAAGACCATGATATTAAAATTCCACAGCTGGGAGTCAAAGCCTATGAAAGAGATGATTCCATGTTTCCAAAAGCTGACAAGAAAAGTCTGGCAGTAGATCAAGTTTAGTAGAGCTGTCCAGGGTTCTGACCCCATTTAGCACCATCTGTGGCCCTCTGTCCCTTCACTGTCTCTTTTAAGCACATTCCTTCAGAAATGCTGACAACTCTTGCCCGCTACTCCAGAACACTTCAAGACCTTCCTGTACAACCTGACTACAGAGACACTTAACAGATGTGTAATTCTCTTCCCCTCTACCTATGGACATCCAGGATAGGGAGCCTGGAAACCTCTGGATTAAGTGCGTGCTTTGATGACCCTGGAGAGACTTAAGACCATTCATTTTTCCTAAGGACAAAGTAATTTATTTGTATTTTAAATGTATTCCCAAATTGGACTTCTTGGTTATAAAAATATCCATGATTTGATATTCTTGTCCCCCAGTGGCTGCCCACATAATTAGTTATTAAAAGATAAAGTAAGACAACACACTCATGGAAACAAAGTCAAGATTAAAAGGCCAATATAGCCATGGTCACTATTCATCACATACGTGTTTCCATACTAGAACAAATACTACTAGAAGGAAGAAACAGATATTAGCATAACACAGTCTAGTTACCAGGAAGTATTACTATAATATTTTGTCTAAAGAAAGGACAGGTGAGACCTAAGAAAATGTCTTGAAAACTCTTTTTCAGGTAAGAATATCCAATTGTCTAATGTGATTTAATGTCTATCATTTACAAATTTATCTATAAGTCTTTCCCTTGAAGCTATAAACGCTTAAGACTCCTCATATTGGTGTAATTATTATGATGGCTTATGGTTGGACACTATATTCTTTTACTCTGGAAATTAAGATTATTATTGAAAATAATATAAATCCACATGGCTAATTTTCCAAAAGCTGCTTTTAAAATCCAGTAAGTTTATTCTTAAATAATGCAACTTCTGACCTGCTTAGTATTCAAAACAAAAAACTGAAATTCTGCTACCCTCTTTGCAGTCTATTGATTTGAGAACTACAGCTGCTGAAATTAAACTTTATTGTTAGCATAGAGCTTTCAGCTGAGGAAGCAATTTCAAATTGGTTTCTTTTCTAGCCCAGCCTAATATTAAGTAAATATGTGCCTGTAAGTGTCTCTAGCAGATTATTACCTAAGTGGTGCATGCCACTTTGCAGGTGCTGCTCTGAGAAACTAAAATCTACTTTGGTGATGAGTCTTACTACCCGATGGATAAACACTGGTACTGAAACTGAGTCCACAGTTACCCTCAGAGCTCGAAGAGTGATTCCAAGTTAGACATTTCTTCATTTAACATGCCTTTTAATTTAGTGCTCTAGGATACGTGCGTAAAGCAAGGAAATGACCACGGTCCCTGTCCTTGAGGAGTGCCCTGTCTAGAGAGAAGACAGAAATAGAAATAGATATTTTAATGCAACATGTCAATAAATACATTTATACTTTATATGATGGGAAAGTCTCCTCACTGATGAAGGGGTTAGTTTTAGGGAATGAGGGAGGCTCCTGAGAGAAAATCAACCAGAGATTGGATGAGAAAGATGTCTTTGCTTTATTTCTTTAAAATAGCAAGCTCAATTTCCTGGTTCAAGAAATAGCTCTTATTCTCTAAAAATAATAAAACAATGTTTCCCCTGCTGGCATAAACACTAACTGAAGCAGCGGAAATAATAACCCATCATTTTATAGACATTCTGAAAGGGAACAGGGAAAATGATGAACAGAAGAATAATATGAAGAGCTGCGAATTTTAAATAACAAGATCAGTAAAGATACCACCCATTTTGATCTCAAATCTATAGCGGTGAAATTTTGAGAACTAGAGGAAAGAAATACAATGCCTTTTTGTCAATGCCCTATCTTTTAAGGAATACCCTGCTTTTCAAAATTATGCCTTGAAATACAATGCACAGAACACACAGAAACTTGTCCTGGAAATCAATAAAACTTGACTTCGTTTGATATTGTGCCAATTTAAACTTACATCTGAATTCTATCAAACTTCCCTTCTTAGTAGAGTAAGCATGGTTACTGTTCTAAGCAAATCTATGTCCCCAAAAATCTCACACCAATTTACCTGCTATATACATTCTTGTGTCATAAAAAGATGAGGCTGGGGGCTTTGAGTGAAACTATTTGTAGAAACCATTTTATCAATTGACTGTAAAGAACAAGGAAAGATGGTACAAGCTAGACCCTGTATGTGTAGAACACAAACATGAGTGACAATTTGTCTCCCTGCCACATGATTTGAACAAAGGAAAAATTAATCTGGATAATTCAGTCCAAACGGATTTGGGTACAATACTCAGGAATGAAGAACAGGAAAGGAAAACCACTGTGTGGCCCATAAACCAAAGAGACAAAGCTATAAATGGCAACTAAGCCCCGTCAGTTAACAATGTTGTGTCCCTCTCCGGTGTAGCATAACGTTTCAGTCCTACATATGCTTACATATATTCCTTTTCATATTCTTTTTCATTGTAGGTTACTACAAGATGAGTTACTCCTTTTAAATCAGGACTTTCATTAAGTGCTGCTCTAAATCCTATGGGCAATTTAGACAAAATCCAAAGGTATCTCTAGTCCACATTCCTTCGCTGGCATTTAAGATGCTCCATTATCTGACCCCAAACTAGTTCTCAAGCCTCATTCCTCCCTCCTTTTCCTTACTAACCAGTTACCTTAGCTAGACATCCACTACCATCTCTTGAATTCGTCCAGTAGTCTCCCATTGCTGTGACTTTGATCTTTCCATCTAAAGAAACCTCTTATCTCTTTTCGACTGTCCTCATTTCCACAGGGATCAAATCCATTTCCTCTTGTCTTATGAAGCTTTCCCTGATCTCCTTAGCCTAAAGAGAACTTTCTTTTCTCTCAGCACTTAAAGCATTCATCTTCTATCTCTCATTTGACCTGCACTTATACACTGCCTGGCACTACTAGCTGTCATTTAATGTGTAAGCATTTCATGTCCCCAACCAGACTGTTTACTCCCTGCAGTCAAGCCCGATTGCACCTTATGTTTCACAATAAACCCACTAGTACCTGGCACGGTGGTCTGTACAGAGTAAATGTTCAAACAATAATGTAAGTTACAAGGATATAATGTACAGCACAGGGAATTAGTCAATATTTTATAATAATTTTGTCTGGAGTGTAATCTATAAAAATATCTAATCACTATGTTGTACTTCTGAAACATAATATTGTAAGTCAACTACACTTCAATTAAAAAGAGAATATTTAAAAGAAGTATTTTAGAAAAAATAAAACAATTGCAATAGGGCATAAACTCAGTTGCTATAACAAAGAAACCCAAAATAGTGACTCAGATGAGGTAGAAACTTATTTCTCTCTCATACAACAGAAGAGAAGCCATCCAAGGCATGTAGATGTTTATGATCCAGGAGGGCGTTCAAGGGCCAGGCTCCTTTGGTTTGATTGTTCCACTATTTTCGTCTGTATGAACAAAGCTATTGCACCAGCACCATATCTGCATTTAAGGATGTAGGAGTAGGAAAGAGAGGAGTGGGAATTCCTAACAAAAATGTGATCTGGAAGTTGCAGTCAACATTGCTGCCCATTTCCCAGTGGCCCAAACATAGTCACATAACCATACCTGCTGCAAGGGAAGCTGGGAATGCAGTCCTTTGCTAAAACAGGCCATTAGCTCATCTGAAATTCATGAAGTTCTATTTCTCAAAAAAAAAAAAAAAGAGGGAGCGAGAGAGAGAGAAAGAGAATGATGGATACTAGGGAGCATCTAGTAGTCTCTTCCAAAATATTAAGGCAAATTAAATTAATAACTATCCATGGACTAGAGATTTTGAAGAAGTAAGAAGGTATAAAATCATCAGGGGGAAAGTATAGAATCTTCTGACTAGTGTGAAGCTTCAGCTCAGCACTGGCTACTCCAAGCCCATTCGTTCCTCTTCAAGCTCATCTGATTTCTAGTGTACAGTAACCATTCTCCATCAACGCTGCTCACAGATTCTTCTATACCTGAACTCCCCTATCAGTGAACTACTCTAAACTTTTCAGCACTGCAGAATTTCCTTCTAATCTCGCCTTTTCATTGTTTTTGACATGGAATTCTTACCTTCTGCAGTAAAATGTTACTCCTTTGAGGGAACAGGTCACATTGTTTAAGGGATGTCTACGTGAGAACAACACACGTGAGACACACAAGGGTAACATTTTTGTTGCTTTAGACTCCACACAACTCGGGTTGCTCCTCCCATCCCCCAATCTCTATTAATGTCTAGCACAGAACTTGGCACAGAGAAGATGCTGAATAAAGACATGCTCCATGAAATTGAGAACTCTTTGCTATGTTTAGGTCATGATGCCAGAATGAAAAACATTCAGATGATAGCCAATCAAGAATTTTCATCCAATGGCACAAATCTGAACCACGCATCTCAGCTGGGTGAGTCCACGTGGTGCGCTCTGAGTACAAACACCAGGTGGTGAGAAGGAAGGGGCATCTTCTACAATCCTCTGGTCTATTGTCCACACGGCCACTTCTGTCTGTGTTAAAGTGTTCTCTTGTTTAGCTTTCCTGTCTTGTAACTTTATTTCAGTTCAGCTTGAGTGCATTCTCCCCCAAAATTGAAATTTTGGTGAAGAAAATTATATAAAAGGAAGAATTTACATTTCAAAGTCATTCCAAAGAACAGCTTTGTTGCATCCCTCTCCATCAACCGTACCTACTGTGAAGCCTTCTTCTCCTCCTTCTGCAAATACAACAAACTTCCCTTGCATGACATTTCATGTTCCAACTGTATTTATGTGTTGTGTATTACTAACATAAGCACAACTTCATTGTTCCATATACCTGTGAAAATGGTTTGGGCATTAACAGCCCACCTTTATTTCACAGGCCATGTATTAGTTCTCCATTGCTGCGTAACAGATCATGCGTAACCTTGGTATAAGCTTAAAGCAACAATAAACATTCCTTATGGCTCACACAGAAAAAGAATTTTCATCTTAAAATTCAAAATGCCTGCCCAATGAACCTGATGCACTGAGGCAAACAAGTACAATTGAAAAGAACACACAGCTAGCCAGAGGCAGAACGGAAAAATACCAGGCTGGTCAAGAACCTTTTTCCAGGTTCTCTGTTTCCTTCACTGACCAAAGAATTCATTCAGTCCAATGAAAAAAGTACTTCAACTGAATGCCAGTGAGTTCCTTTCTACCTACAGGAGGCAAAGTCTGAGCTTGCCAACTTCAAGGAAATCTATACATACATATTTTAATTTTTCTTTTCGAATATGTGCAGAACAATGATCATTTCCACCTATCTCTTGTTTGGAGGAGGTATTTCATACTAAGTCAGAGATTAAGCAGAACATTTAATTTAATTTTCAGTTTTCTATTTCCTTTACAGCTTTGAAACAGAAATTACCTTTATTAAAGTCTGAACTGAAAGTCAAAACAAAATGTGGTGGCAGAGTCTGAAATTCAAGAGTACAAAAAGTCAAAAGGTAAGGACTTCATTTCCACATCTGGAAATTAAAGCAAGTTGCCTGTAAACTAAAACTTGACTAGTAAAAATTGATGAATATTTTTAAGGGAGTCTAGCAATTGTCTGTTAATAAAGGGAAACCTGCAGAGAAATTTATTTTTGTCATGCAATGAACGTATCATCTTTAGGGGAAAATTAGAAAAGGTAGATGAAGAAAAAGGAAAAAAAAAAGAGAAGAAATATTTTTAAATCATCCAAGAGCCTTCCCCCATAGAAGAGAACAATTTTTGACACCTGGGGGTCTACCCATTAAGAATATGTATATTGTTAACCAGGTGATAGTTAGATCCTTTCTGTTTTCCCACACTTGAGAATAAAGCCAGTTGAGGATGAAGAGCAATCATTACTTTACACTCTGACCTCCAGCCTCTGGGGCCAGCCTCCCTCCTGCAGCCTTGCTAGGAAGTACCAGAACAGCACCCAGCACCAATGTCACTCTCTCCCCATGCACAGTTTATATAAGATGAAGAAGGAAGTCACAAGAACCCTTCTTCTTCTCCCACCTGGAGAATAAGAGATTGTTTTCTCTCCCCCTGAAGCGCAGTGAGGGGAACTCTAAAAGAATCACCCCTAAATATTAGAGGAGCTTGTAAAGTGGGGTACCAGTACTGTGTTCTCTAGCTGGATGCTGGCTCAGGACAGACTCTTGCACGTGCATCATATACAGGAACAGAAGATGGCGAGGGAGTTCTTGGGAAGGTATTTTGGGCTCAGAATCTAGGAGTATGGTAGTGTGATTTTAGCAATTCTTTCCGTCTATGAGGAAAGAGGGTTTGCTTGCCATATGTCCCTTGAGGTTTGGAGATGCACTTGGTTTGGAGAGCTCTGAAAATAGGAGACCTTTTTGGAAGGCTGTATCAGCGCTGCTTGAGTGTAAAGTACTCAGAAAGACGAGTGGTCCAACTCCTATCCCATTCCAATTTTCTAGGTGTCTTGTAGGGCACAGAGACCCTGGTCATTTTTCTGGCTCCACATAAAGCAGCATGGGTATTCGAAGACAGGAAGCTTGAGGCTGCTCAGATGTGTATTTTGAAGGTCCAGTCATGAGGTATTCAACTTTGAGAGGGCAATGGGAGTACACATAGCAGGTGGGCCAAGAGGAGACACTCCTGCTCTCTGCAGGAGGCTCCTGCGCAGCGGAAAGTGTCTAGGTGAAACCAGCCACCACCCCCCAAAAACAATCACACTCCCAGCCTGTGAGAACCTCTTCACATCAGCTGAGGTCCCCAATATCCAATCAAACCATGCTGGCCAGAGCAAAGACAGGTTCTAGGTGACAGTTACGTGAGGAGGTCCCTGCCCGCTCTTCCCTCTGTATCAGCAACACTAGAGGAACTAGTGCCTGGGAGAGGAAGGGGAAGGAGACATCTTAGAATCTAACTGTACTACCATCTCTCCACTCCCTGCTCTAAGCAAGCAGGGGGAAGCGGAGTGGCCGAGCTTTGAATCAAGACTTAAGGATCACTTCTTAAACACAAACATAAGATTCTTCTAGAAATGAAAGTGATTGAAAAGTCATGAAATCTAGCTGAGACTTCACTGAAGGAGCAACTACACACACATTTACGCCCTAATGAGTTGCAAATTCTCAATAAGCCTGGTGTGTGTATGTGTGTGTGTGTTTGTGTGTGTATTATTCTGGTAATAGATAGGACTAAGTTATTCATACCAACTCCCCCACTGAAAACAACTAAAAATGATGGATATGTTTTTTAAATGCTTTTTAAAAATAAACCTCAAGAGCATGGAAAAGACAGAAGTAATTATCAGGTTAAAATTTAAGTGCAAGAAGCAATTGAGAATGGTAAGCCAAGGACAAAGCCCTCTTTTGTGTTGAGGGCATTTGCTTCAGCAGAAAAAAGATGTACTTTCACGGCCTGGATGACACAGGGGAGCAGGTGAGTGCCCAGAACCTATCCATAGCTTATGAAACGTGGATCCCAAACTACTACACCCTCAATGTAGAGATAAATCTTAAGAAGTTATCAAACAGCTGTGTCTACCATATTTAAAGAAGTGGAAAATAAACTTCAAAATATCTGCAAGCAACAGATAATTATAAAAAGTGATCTAAAAGAATTTTTTTTTTAAACGTGGGTATGCTTAACAGTAGAGCAGATACAGACAGAGAGGAGAGAATTAGTGAACAGGAAGACAGGTCAGAAGGAGTTATCCAAAATGCAGAGCCGAGAGAGCAAACAATGGAAAATATGGAACAGGGTTTAAGAGTCATGAAAAATAAACTGAGAAGGTTGAATATATATTTAATTGGAGTTCTGAAGGAGAGAGAATGAGACAGAGGCATATTTGGGTAAATTATGGCAGAGGTTGTTCTAGAGATGGAAATCATCAATCAGCCTGTTCTAGAAGTCCAGTGATTCCTGAGTGGGATAAATAAAAAGAAATTCACATCTAAATACACCAGAGTAAAACTGCAGAAAACCAAGCAAAATAAATCTTAAAATAGACAGAAAATTTTTAAGAGAAATTACCTTCATAACAGCATCAGTTATACTGACAGACTTCTCAAGAGCAATACTAGAGCCCGGAAGACAGGAGAATGATTTATTGAATGTACGGGGGAAAAAATAACTGTCAACAGATTCTACACACAGCAAAATGATCTCTCAAGAATGAAGAAAAATAGAGACATTTTCAGTTCAACAAAAACTAAAAGAGTATATGACCATTAGACCCTCTCAAGAGAAAATTCTCAGGAAATACTCCCAGCAGAAAGGAAATAACCCCAGGGCAAAGTTCTGAGATACAAAGAGAAATGAAGAGCAAAGAAAGCGTTAAATAGGAGGTAAAACTAAATGTCCGTTAAATGTCACAAGCAACGGTTATAACATGCTTAATGATGGCATTAAAATACATTTTTAAAAAACAAAATAAAATCATACGGGGTTAAATGGAGTTAAAGTATTTAAGTCATGACAAAAGTAAAGGTATTTATTTACTTTATGTATTAATAAGTTAAAGTATGCATATTGCAAGTCTAGAGTAACAACAAAATGAATAGATATAAACAACATTACATCTTTTTTTTTTTACAAAGTTTTTGGTATTTTATTTCATCTAAGAATCATTTCATCACAGAATCCTTGACATTTGGTGGAAAGGCTTATTTTTTAAAAGTGTCAAATCCTATTTCAGTTCCAAGTTTCACTACAGTTTTTTTTTTTTTTTAACATTACATCTTATAGGGGAAAAAAGCAAGTCCAATTAAGGCAATACAGAGAGAAAAATAAAATAGGCAGAACAAAAAAATTTTAAATAATAGATAAAAAATTAAATTTATTAGTAAATGCTCTAAATAAAGGACAAAGATGGCCTGAAAAAAATCTAATTAGATGTTGTTCTTATATATAGAAATATGTCTGAAATACAAGGTCACAGAACGGTTAAGAGTAAAAGGATTATGGCTGAGTAGTATTCCATTGTATAAATATACCACAGCTTCTTTATCCAGTCACCTGTTGATGGACATTTAGGTTGTTTCCATGTTTTGGCTATTGTAAATAGTGCTGCTATGAACATTGGGGTGCAGGTGTCATCCTGAAGTAGCTTTCCTTCTGGGTACAAGCCCAGGAGTGGGATTCCTGGGTCATATGGTAAGTCTATTCCTAGTCTTTTGAGGAATCTCCACACTGTTTTCCATAGTGGCTGCACCAAACTGCATTCCCACCAGCAGTGTAGGAGGGTTCCCCTTTCTCCACAGCCTCTCCAGCATTTTTGGATTTTTGAATGACAGCCATTCTGACTGGTGTGAGGTGATACCTCATTGTAGTTTTGATTTGCATTTCTCTGATAATTAGTGATATTGAGCATTTTTTCATGTGCTTTTTGATCATTTGTATGTCTTCCTTGGAGAATTGCTTGTTTAGGTCTTCTGCCCATTTTTGGATTGGGTTGTTTATTTTTTTCTTATTGAGTCGTATGAGCTGCTTATATATTTTGGACAACATAATGCCATTTGCAGCAACATGGATGATCCTAGAGAATGTCATTCTAAGTGAAGTAAGCCAGAAAGAGAAAGAAAAATACCATATGAGATCGCTCATATGTGGAATCTAAAAAACAAAAACAAACAAAAACAAAGCATAAATACAGGACAGAAATAGACTCATGGACAGA